GGTGGGGGGAGACGGAGAACCGGGATATGCGGTAATGGCAAACTTTGTGGTAAGAACGACTGTAAGGAATTCCCTAGGGAACACTACTGCAGTAGCAAGTTGCAGAGGCCGACTTAAGGAAAACAGACAAGGCAGAAGGAGAAAGAGGGATAAGTAGAGAATCAGGCACTAGGAAACAGCAGGGATAATGGCTGCAACACAGAGACAGAGAGACGAGGGCAAAAACGGGAGGCAGAGGACAGCAGTGGGAAGCCGAGGGAGGGCTGAGGAGGGTTAGAAGGAACTTTGCAGAGGTGGGAGTGTGCACGTGGCAAGATGGGGCACTGCAACAAGAAATGTTGCTGGCTGCTCAGATTCTGAGACTAGCCTGCTGGGGAGACTGTTCACAGGTACATATGCTTCAGTGTGTGTTTCAACCTGGGCACAAGCCAGAGTTTAGGGGCCTGTGGGGAGGAGAGAGGCCTGACTCATGTTTGGTCAAGACAAAGAAGAGGGTAAGAAATGGGCAGTTGTGATCACTCGCTCTAATTTAAACTTCCAGTTACATCAGGATTTATTGCATGTCCTTTACTTAAGACAGTAAAGCCAGGGCATTAGGCCCTAAGGGTACAGTAATGATTAATTCAGAATCCTCAAGGAGTGATGCCAGTCAAAAATACAGATATGGGAAGGGGTCAGACTGTAGAGAGCCTTGTAGGAATTGTGAAAACTTTAGCTCTTAATTCTAAGGGTGATGAGAAGCTATCCTTATATAGTATCTCATTTAAAAAAACAGTTGAAGCCCTAGCTGGTTTTGCTCAGTGGTTTTGCTTTGACCTGCTGACTGAAGGGTCCCAGGTTCGATTCTGGACAAGGGCATGTACCCGGGTTGCAGGTTGATCCCAGGCCTCCGTGGGGGCACGTTGGGGGCGACAACCAATCCATGTGTCTCTTTCACATTGATGTTTCTCTCTCTTCCTCCCTCCCTCCCTTCTACTCTCTCAAAAAATCAATGGAAAAATATCCTCAGGTGAGGATTAACAAAATATAGAGTCAAGGTTAAACACTGCAGTACTATTTTTAATACCAAACATCTAACAGAGGTGTGGTTGTAATAAATTATGGTATACACACAAAACAGTACTGTTTAGCTGCAAGAGATACAGAAAGAAATACCTCTATAATACTATATAAACTTCAGAATATAATGTTATGTGAAAAAAGCAAAGTGGGAAAAAAGAAAATAGTTTATTACTTTTTTTTTGAAATTTGAAAATGAATGAATATATACAGTCAGTTCTCATTATTCGTGGTAGTTATTATCTATAGAGCTGCTGCTAACACAGAATTAGTAAATACTGAAGCATTGCTTCTAGGGGAAAGGTGCAAACACACACTCATGTATACAAATATACACATACATACACATATATATGCATAATACATATATGTTGCAGATTATAATCTTAAATTACAACTTCATGAATTTTACTTTGTGTAATTAAGATTATAATCTTAAAATCAACCCATCCTGGTAGATTCTATTTTCTTTATTTTACAAAAGAGACAATGAGGTTCGCAAGTATTACGTGACTTTCCTGAAGTCACTCCGCTAGCAGGTGCCAGAGTTGGAGTCAAACTCCACCCACTGTTCCCACAGCTGGAGTTTCTTGCACTACACTGCACTGCCCCTGCTGTCTCCATCCTCTGGCCATCTCTGTTTGAGAGCTGGGACAGAGGGAGAATATCCCCTTGTTCATCCTCAGCTGGGAACGTGTGCATGGGGCAACTCAAATATTTCACTGCTCTGTGCATGTCTGCTAATGACTGCAAAAGCACTGTGAGTATTGATTTTGGGGGATTACAAATAAATTTTAGCAAGTAAGTAATTTTGCAAATACAAAATCTGTGAATAATGAAGATCAGATGTATATTTACCTTAAAAATAAAACTCAAATAATGGAAGACCAAACCATCAAGTAAAATATCTATAAAGGGTGTGATTAATCATCTACATATTGAAATGTAACAACTTGCTCCCAAATTTAGTGGCTTAAAATAACACATTTATTGTCTAAGTTTCTGTGGGTCAGAAAGTCAGGACATGAATTATCTGGGTCCTCTGCTTCAGGGTCTCCCACAAATCTACCATCAAAGTATTGGCCCATGCTGGGATTTCACTGAAGGCTCCATTGGGGAAAGACCCAATTTCGAGCTCAATTACGTAACTGTTGGCATAGTTCAATGCCTCTAGGATTGTTGGACTAAGGCATTCATGTCCTTCCTGGCTGTTGGACAGGAGCTACCCACAGGACCTTTCCATGCAGGACTGTCAAACTTGCAACTTGCTTATTTAATGAGGCAAGAAAAGAGTCTGTAAGCAAGATGGAAGTCACAATCTTTTATAATGTAATCACAGAAGTTACATTCCCTCAGTGTTGCCATATTCTAGTGGTTAGAAACTACTTACTCATGTGGAGCTTATTACCAAGAGGTAAGAATCATTGGTGGCCATTTTATTTATTTATTTATTTATTTATTTATTTATTTATTTATTTATTTATTATTTATTTATTTATTTATAAAATATATCTTTCTTGATTTCAGAGAGAGGAAGGGAGAGGGAGAGGGAGAGAGAGAAAGAGAGAAACATCAATGATGAGAGAGTCGTCATTGATCGGCCTCCCCCTGCACACTCCCAAATGGGGATGGAGCCCGCAA